ATTTCAGTTCAGGCGTATTCAATGAGGACGATAAATGTTATATTGGCATTATATTGACCTTGAATATTCAAATTATAGAACACAATCAGTACATTTCTTAAGTTACAAAAAGTATAAAATCATTCGAATGTTTATTTGATGGTAGGTTTTGATTTTATCTTAATTTCATTTTTGACCGATCTGTTTGTAAAATTATTTTTCATAAAATAGAGTTAAACAGAATCCCTAAAGAAATTCCAAAACAACAGAATTGAAAATGTTGCAGGCTCGGTTTGATCCAGCCTGTTCATGGACGGTACTGGAAAGTGCAAGTTACCGTCCACGCCCGCTAGCACCGGTTTAAGCAGAATTCAACATTTAAACACGAAAATGGTGAAATTTGGAATTAAGAAACATCCGCAGATTTGTTCATACGGCGGTTATCCTGGAACGTTAAATGTGACACAGCAGTGCCATTCCATAAAAAGCGGCGTGTGCCCTAAACGAGAAAACAAGCCCAATAACATGCCATGATAAACACACTTAATAATTGACAATTTTATTAATTAACTACACGTAATCTAAAACAGTTACGTACTTAGTGAACAAAAAATTACTTATGTAAAATTCCGTTGTTTTGAGGTATTGCAAATGAGATTATTGTTTAGATTCATAATGGTCGAGCTGGAGAGCCGACCAAATTTCTTCAATCTCATAATAGCCGAGTTTCCTCTTAAAACCTTACTTTTTGCATAATGACATTGTTTTTTGTTCAAAATGTCGTGGTGAACTTCATATTGGCCTTACATTTGAAGTAAAAACGTGCCTAATATTTAAAAGTTAATTAATAATAACGATTATTTCTGTTCTACTCCTCTAAACTGAGTAAATGTTTGTGATACTGCATACATGATTTCAATACAGCTATGAGAAATAGAGTTATTAACAGCAACATGTACTATCAAAACATTAAAAGCGAAGACAAAACCTTTCTCCTGTCTGTCACATTAACACAAAACACATGATGTCAATGAGGAAGAAATCTTCTCAGCAATTTTCATTCTTTCAGAAACTTTATTCGATTAGTAAATCCTTATTGCGGTGTAATTGTACGACGTCGATTTCATTGCAATTTCCTTCTGAAAAAAAAAATAAAAGATCTAATTCGTAAAGACTACCTTGTTTAAATTTATTACGTTTTCTATTTAAAATATTATATGTGTACATCAAAAGTAGCATGGAAGTAATAACAAATTGAAACGCAAATTTTGGGAATACTTTGAAACACACATATTAATTTTGTACATGTAGGAAATTAATCTTTGCTTATGCAGCATAATGATAAAATTCATCTTTCAATAACTTTGGGCATGATTCTACTACCTTAATTCCCAAACGAAATTATTCTTTTTTTAGTTAATGAACAATGTATCACAATATCAACTTAGATGCACATCATTTTATATTAATCATCTTATCGTATCTTATGGTGCTTTTCATTGAATGTCACTTAGTGTCATATTAATTTTTAGTGTCACTTAATTTTTGTAAATCAAATTTTCGCCATTTTCAAATATAAACTTTAAACTCTATTTAGCCGGTGATAGTAAGCGTAGGCAGTAGTTTCCGTTTCCGGGAACATGCATGAAGGGCTCAATGAAACCTACAACATTTCATTTCTGCCGATTTTTATGCTTTTTAAGGATTGCTTTCCTATACAATGAAAAATATCAGAAATTAAGTTTATAGTACTTACGTTTTTTTTGTAAAATAAATTAAATTTTAATTAAATTTGTTATGCACCTTTATATTTGTAATATCAATTTAAATGTGTATTATCAAGTTAAATGTTTAGTCTGTTCAATTTTTGTATCTATCCGACAAGATGATTGTTGGTTTCAAAAAGTTGGGAAAAGTACAATAGTCGTCTTATAACAGTGTACAATATAAAAGAGGAATGTCCAATCATTCCTGTTTATTATGGCTCTTTTGGTCATTTTAGTGGTTAAACTGGTACATAAAAATCAAGGCAAATTTATATAAATGGACAATTCTTTATTAAAATCATTGAAATATCAAAAGCAATTTTATTAACAGATCAAATATTTACATACACAATTCACATTTCTAAATTAACTTCTTATATATCTAACACTTCTTGGCCACAATTATTCTGCTACAACATAATGTTCGGTGCCCGAACATTTTGTGAAATGAAAAAATAAATGAATTACTTCATTGACCAGACTAAATCATCAAATCAAAGTTTTAACTAAAAATGTTAGGGCACCGAACAATTTCCAAATTAAAACAAAGATTTACTGACAATAGACCGAAGCATTAAATACAAGTTTTCATTCAAAATGTTCGGGCACCGAACAATTTACAAATTAAAAAATGATTTACTGACGATAGACTTAAGTGTTTAATCAATGTTTTAACTAAAAATGTTAGGGCACCGAACAATTTCCAAATTAAAACAAAGATTTACTGACAATAGACCGAAGCATTAAATACAAGTTTTCATTCAAAATGTTAGGGCACCGAACATTTTGCAAATTAAAAAAAGATTTACTAAAGATGGACGCAAGTGTTTAGTCAATGTTTTAACTAAAAATGTTAGGGCACCGAACAATTTCCAAATTAAAACAATGATTTACTGACAATAGACCGAAGCATTAAATACAAGTTTTCATTCAAAATGTTCGGGCACCGAACAATTTACAAATTAAAAAATGATTTACTGACGATAGACTTAAGTGTTTAATCAATGTTTTAACTAAAAATGTTAGGGCACCGAACAATTTCCAAATTAAAACAAAGATTTACTGACAATAGACCGAAGCATTAAATACAAGTTTTCATTCAAAATGTTCGGGCACCGAACAATTTACAAATTAAAAAATGATTTACTGACGATAGACTTTAGTGTATAAGTGTAATCAATGTTTTAACAAAAAATGTTAGGGCACCGAACAATTTCCAAATTAAAACAAACATTAACTGACAATAAACCGAACATTAAATACAAGTTTTCATTCAAAATGTTAGGGCACCGAACATTCTGCAAATTAAAAAAAGATTTACTAAAGATGGACGCAAGTGTTTAGTCAATGTTTTAACTAAAAATGTTAGGGCACCGAACAATTTCCAAATTAAAACAATGATTTACTGACAATAGACCGAAGCATTAAATACAAGTTTTCATTCAAAATGTTCGAGCACTGAACAATTTGCAATCAATGTTTTAACTAAAATGTTAGGGCACGGAACAATTAACAAATTAAAACAAAGATTTACAAATTATAGACCGAAGCAATAAATACAAGTTAACATTCAAAATGTTCGGGCACCGAACAATTTACAAATTAAAAAATGATTTACTGACGATAGACTTAAGTGTTTAATCAATGTTTTAACTAAAAATGTTAGGGCACCGAACAATTTCCAAATTAAAACAAAGATTTACTGACAATAGACCGAAGCATTAAATACAAGTTTTCATTCAAAATGTTCGGGCACCGAACAATTTACAAATTAAAAAATGATTTACTGACGATAGACTTAAGTGTTTAATCAATGTTTTAACTAAAAATGTTAGGGCACCGAACAATTTCCAAATTTAAACAAAGATTTACTGACAATAGACCGAAGCATTAAATACAAGTTTTCATTCAAAATGTTCGGGCACCGAACAATTTACAAATTAATAAATGATTTACTGACGATAGACTTAAGTGTTTAATCAATGTTTTAACTAAAAATGTTAGGGCACCGAACAATTTCCAAATTAAAACAAAGATTTACTGACAATAGACCGAAGCATTAAATACAAGTTTTCATTCAAAATGTTAGGGCACCGAACATTTTGCAAATTAAAAAAAAAAGATTTACTGATGATGGACTTTAATGTTTAATCAATGTTTTTACAAAAAATATTAGGGCACCAAACATTTTCCCAATTAAAACAAAGATTTACTGACAAGCAAGTTTAAATACAAGTTTTCATTTAAAAAGTTAGGGCACCAAACAATTTACAGAAGTACAATATACCATGTACAAAATATATAAAAGGGACTTTTTTTAAGCATTAAAGAATTCACTAATGGAAAATTTAGGGCATCGAACATTTTGTAAAATTTCAAAAATTACTTTCTTTATTTCAAATAAGTTTTAAAAATCATAAAAACTTGATGACTTTGAAAAAAAAAAATGTTCAGCACTTTTGCGAAATTAGAAACAAAGGCTTAAAAAAGAAATGAATTATTGTAAATCAGTGTTTTAATTCAAAATGTTTGGACGTAAAACAATTAACAAGTTAAAAAAAAAGATTTACCGACAATCGATAGAAGCATTAAATGCAAGTTTTCATTCAAAATGTTACAGCACCGAACATTTTGCAAATTAAAACAAGAGCATTGCTAGGTGGAGCATTATATGCCCGAAAGTGTTTTTTTTTTAGTAAGGCTGAAGCATTTGTAAGACATGGGAATTTAAATTTTTTACTTAAACAGATGGACAGAAAGACGCCAGGGATATAACATGATATAAGCAAATTTTTTAGGACATATAATTAATGTAATCAATATAAGCTGTAGGTTGATTAATACTCAAGTTATTGAGCGAAAACCATTTTCAGTGACCTTGACCTTGTGACCCAAAATTATTAGGGGTCTTCTACACAATACTGACAATCACCCAATGAAGTTTGAACACTGTGGGCGAAATGGAACTTTAGTTATGCTCAAGAAACCACAATTTTCTGTGTAAGGATCACTGTGACCCTGACCTTTGACCTTAAGACCTCAAAATTAATAGGGGACTTCTACCTAATATGGACAATCATCCTATGAAGTTTGAATATTGTGGGCCAAATGGAACATAAGTTATGCTCCGGAAACTGTTTTCAGTTTTAAGATAATAGTAACCTTGACTTTTGACCTTGTGACCCAAAAATCAATAGGGGTGTTCTACTCAATATGGACAATCATCCTATGAAGTTTGAATATTGTGGGCCAAAAGGAACATAAGTTAAGCTCTGGAAACTGTTTTCAGTTTTAAGGTAATAGTGACCTTGACCTTTTCTTGTGACCAAAAAATCAATAGGGGTCTTCTACTCAATATGAACAATCATCCTATATGTTTGAGTATTGTGGGCCAAATGGAACTTAAGTTATGCTCCTAAAAAAAATTCAGTGTCAAGGTAATAGTGACCTTGACCTTTGACCTTGTGACACCAAAATCAATAGGGGTCTTCTTCCCAATATTGACAATCATCCTATGAAGTTTGAATATTGTTGGCCAAATGGAACTTAAGTTATGCTCTGGAAACTGTTTTCAGTGTTAAGCTAATAGTGACCTTGACCTTTGACCTTGTGACCCCAAAATCAATAGGGGTCTTCTACCCAATATGGACAATCATCCTATGAAGTTTGTTATTGTGGGCCAAATGGAACTTAAGTTATGCTCTGAAAATGTTTTCAGTGTCAAGGTCATAGTGACATTAACCTTTGACCTTGTGACCCCAAAATCAATAGGGGTCTTCTACCCAGTATGGACAATCATCCTATGAAGTTTGTTTATTGTGGGCCAAATGGAACTTAAGGTATGCTCTGGAAACTGTTTTCAGTGTTAGGTAATAGTGACCTTGACCTTTGACCTTGTGACCCCAAAATCAATTGGGGTCTTTTAACCAATATGGACAATCCTCCTATGAAGTTTGAATATTTTGGGCTGAATGGAACTTAGGTCATGCTCCGGCAACCAAATTGCTAACGGACGGACGGACAGAAGGATGCCATGGGGTATAACATAATATGCCCGAAAAAAAGATTTACTGACAATAGATAGAAGCATTTAAATACAAGTTTTCATTCAAAATGTTACAGCAGAGAACATTTTACAAAATGAAAAAAGAATTATATTCTTACAGTCTAAAGCATTAAAACAAATTTACAGATATATAAATATAATTCTAACACATCTACAATTTTTCTAACATATGTACAGTATAAGTTAGTCTTCTACAATTAAAAATGTAATGGCATTTTACAGACTTTAAAAATTGACTGAAAAACTTGCAATGATGTTTTTGAAAAAAAAAAAAAAAAAAAAACTACAACATTTAACTAGGTTTGATCAAACAGAACAAGAATATTTACTAACATTTGGCAGACTTGAAATTAAAAAAAAGGCTTTCTTACATGTTACAAGACAAAACAGTTTTCAAAGTTTCATGAAAATCAAGGGTTGTTTAAATGTTTGATGAAATGCTACTAGCTTAATGTTTGGCCACCTACTATATAACCAAGAGTAAAAATATTTAGTACCGCCTTATTGAATTCCCGGAGGTACATCAACAAAAAAGACTAAGCATTTTCTACTTATATAAGAAGCAATAATTATTTATTTTAAAAGTACAAAACACACTTTTCTACACAAATATTACTCCGATGAAAATTAATGTCAGCAATGTAAGCAATAAGGCATAGATATCGCCGAAGATTAACGAGAGCGTGAAAATCAGAGACTCAATATGTGAAATATGAAGACTTTGTAATAAATAGTAACCATAATAACAAGTGGAAATCATATAATCATTCAAGGCCCCTGTGACCTTGACATTTTACTTAGTGACCCAAAAATCAATAGTTACGACCAATTAATATGTGATATATGAAGACTTTGTGATGAATTGTAACAAACATAATAAGCAGAAGCCATTCAGACATTTGAGGCCCCTGTGACCTTGCCCTTTGACGTAATGACCCAAAAATCAATAGGGGTCATCTACTAGTTATGACCAATCAATATGTGAAATATGAAGACTATGTGATGAATTCTTTTCAAGATAATCAGCAGAAACCCTTCTGACATTTAAGGCCTCTGTGACCTTGACCTTTGACCTAGTGACTTCAAAATCAATTTAAGTCATGTACTATAACGACCAATCACTATGTGAAGTATGACGACTTTGTGATGAATACTTTACAAGATAATCAGCGACACCATTTTGACATTTAAGGCCCCTGTGACCTTGACCTAGTGACCCCAAAAACGATAGGGGTCATCTACTAGATATGACCAATTAATATGTGAAATATGAAGACTTTGTGATGAATTATTTTCAAGAAAATCAGCGGAAACCATTCTGACATTTAAGGCTCCTGTGACCTTGACCTTTGACCTAGTGAACCCAAAATCAATAGGGGTCATCTACTAGTTATGACCAATCACTATGTGAAATATTAAGACTATGTGATAAATAGTTTTCAAGATAATTAGTGGAAACCATGTGGTCTACCGACGGACTGCCATATAGATATTGTTAACAAACAATATTCAACAACCATCTTCAGTATCAAATGGAAGTTTCAACAAAACTTATGCAAAATTTAAGCACATGTTCCATCCAAACATGTTTCTGTTCCTCTAAGATGACTAGGGAAAATCTTCTCAACAACAATATCTGAAAATAAACAAAAAAAACTATTTTACTTTTTATATATTTCACAATTTGATGAATACAGTACTTCATATTCAATTTATATTCTGTGACATTGATTAAGATATGCAATTGCCTTTAAAAGACAGACATTTATTTAGAGGCCAAATTATTCAACAAATTTACTAACTAAACTTAAGAATAATAATTTTTTATGTCTACAATTGCATATTAACTATAGTCCATATACATTTAAAAGTGTATATTGCATCATTATTTTTTGTGTAAGTTTAAGGTGAAAGACAAGAATCATTCACAAATTTCTTTATAGGGCCAAGCCATTTTTACTTAACAAAATATATGCTCTCTTTAGAGGTGATATATAAAAGAGTAATTGATCTTTAAATTTCCTCAAGACAAGAGGACTGTGATGACTAAAGAGTTTCAAATGGTTGATGAACAAAACAGGCAAAGAGAATTGTATTTGGTAAAGTACTGTCTTAAGTATCATTTTAGCACATTTTGTAGATATTGTACAAGTACTTACTTAATTTAACTGTGACCAATATATCTAGTTGTTGAAGGTAACCACTTTTATCCAAGATATGACCTGAAATAATGGTAATATTAACATTATAACAATTAACAAATGCATATTTAATGTGGTCCAAAGGAATGCTGTAGTAACTGGAACAATACTGTCTCAACCAATATCAGATATTTGATGAATATTCAATTCAAAGAAGAGAGTTCAGATAAGCAGACAATGGGGTGTGCTTGGCTTAGATAAGTTGACTTCAAATCACTTGCAACTCCCACTGCAACACTGTGTACTTTCATGTGAGGAAACTACAGTACATAAATCAAACATCTTACAGAATGTTGGTTTATCTACTCAGGTACCTGCTCATACCTGACATAATGCATGAATATACTTTAATTCACTGCTATAACTTTGATCCAGGGACTTAAGAATAGCACGCAATACATCATCTACTAATGGTAGCTGCATTAACCAATTCATTTTGAATTCCTATCATTCATGCAGAAGTTAAAACCCTAAAATCCCTTAAACACCACAACAACTTTGTACTCAATAGTCAATTCACTTACATATTCTTCTTTTGATTAGTTTGTAATCACCAGTCTCCTCCATCACATATCTATTTTGCTTGGCTCAGTTTACAGGCTTGGAACCTGAAATTGTAAGCAACTATTTTTTAACTGTTGTACCATTACAAACATATTCAATTGTGTTATAGTATAAATTTAAATTTTAGGAAAATAATAAGTTTTAGGGTAAATAAATACAGATAAATGCTAAACCTGATAAATTTCTGAAGTAGACATTGTCTAGCTTTCATTTATAAAACTTTCATTATCAATTTGGTCAGCTAACAATAAAGCCTGGCTCTTTACTGGTAGTAAAGGCGGCAGTGACCTTCGATTCCTGCTGGCCAGCAGGTTGCTTTGAAAGTCAATGGTACTGGTTACTATAGAAAATCAAATTTTGCTATGGAAGTCAATGGTTCTTATGGAAAGTCTGTAACTGATATGAAAAGAAAAGTCAACAGTTGCTGTGGAAAGATAAAGGTTGCTTAAATTGGAAGATAAGACACTGGTTGCTATGGATTCCACTGGTTACTAAGAATTAAGTTGATGCTGGTAGAGATCATAGGTACAATGTATGTACTTAAGAAATTTATTTCAATGGTTATGGAACTTCCAGAAAATTACTGGTTATTAAGGGAAGTAAATTTCATCATGGAAAGTCATGGTTGCTATGGCAGTCTCCAACTGGTATGAAATATCACTAGTTGCTATGGAAAGTAAATGGTTGCTATGGGAGTCATTGGTTGCTTTGTAAAGTCACAGATTGCTATGGCTGTCACTGATTGCTATGAAAAGTCACTGGTCCCAGTGTCATCATTCCCCCCCCCCCTACTTTCTTAATGGTGCCAGTACCAAACAAATGAGGAAAAAATGTATCACATGCACTCAAATTGAGAATTTAACACAAGAGCTGTCCGTAAGACAGCGCGCTCGACTTTTTTATTGCTTGCCAATAAAAAAAGTTTTTGCAGTAAAAGGCAATACAAGAATCTCTGTATTTTTAAAGTGAACAATGGCCATGAGCATTAAGATATCTAGTGAAGAATTATTTTACTGAATTGTGTGATACCCTTGAACACTGCAGGTTCAGTGGATAGGAATGAATTTTTTTAGATTTTTTAAGTTTTTTAGTGCTTGCCTATAATACAAAACATTGACAGTTAAGGGCCATAATTCAAATAAAATCTTTGACAGAATTACCTTCTCCTGGACATGTTTGGGAATCATGATTGTAAACAAGTATTCCAACTTTCAAATTAATATCTCAAACAGTTCAGTCAAAAAGTGGACTGGTACTAAAACTTAACCAAGATTCTAAGTCGATAAAAGGCCTTAATTTTTAAAACAAATCCTTGACAGAGTTACCTTCTCTTGCGTACAGATGGGGGTAATGATGTGAAATAGCATTAAAAGTTTCAAAGCAATATCTCAAAGGGTTAAGGCAATAAGTGGATTTTACCCATATTCAATGTATTTTCTAAGTCAAAAAAGGGGCATAATTCTGTCAAAAACCTTGACAGAGTTATGTCCTCTTGTCTGTTGATGAAGGTCGTGATGGTAAACAAGTATGGTCAGTTTCAAAGCAATACCTCCAATGGTTTTGAAATAAAGTGAGGTGGTACAAAAAACTTAACCAAGCTCAATACACTTTCTAAGTCAAAAAAGGGCCATAATTCTGTCAAAAACCTTGACAGAGTTATGTACTCTTGTCTGTAGATGGAGGTTATGATGGTGAACAAGTATGGTAAGTTTCAAAGCCATACTTGTAATACTTCTGAAATAAAGTGGGGTGGTACGAAAAACTTAACCAAGGTGTGACGCCAACGCCGACGCCGACGCCGGGGCGAGTAGGATAGCTCCCCTTTTCATAGAAAAGTCGAGCTAATAATATGTACCAAGCATTTGTGGTGAATTTTCTAATCCAGGGAGACATTAGTACTATGCATAATATACACTTTTAAACCATGTTTTACAAACAATAAGACACTTAAATCTAATGAGTCAACTTGTTTTCCTATTTGAATATTAGAAAACTCATAGTACATAAATTATATAAATGTTCAGGAGTAAATAATATACTGGGTACGAATATGGCAATATGGGTCATGTGGTTAGATTTGTTCTTTCATCACATATCACTTAACAATATGGAAAAGCTCTGCCATTACTGATTTTTTTTACCTTTCAATTTACGAATTCTTGTAGGGAATTTTCAACTTTGACCCTAAGGGCAAAAAATTTCTAAGCAATTAAACTAGCTGTTACAGTTTCCACATAAGCTTAGCTTGATATTCTAACTACATGTACATGTTTTTTGTATTACTCAGAATATATGCTTTATCTTATAGTGTAATAGAATTTAAGGTATTAGGACCCTAATGGGCACTATCAGGAACTGAAAAATTGACATCATATTCAGTCAGATGTATTACCTTAAAGTACACCTGTATGCAAAATTTAAACAAAGTTTACCGTACGGAAATCAAGTTATGGCCACTGTTCTGAACCCAAGCTAGGATGTTATGAGGGCCCTTTTTTAGAAAGTAGGAACCTTTAAAATAAATAATCTGCAATGACATTCTAATGAAAAATGTTTTCCCATTAATTTTTGGTAAGAAACAAATAGTACCATTCAGCTAACAATCCAAATAAGCAAAATTATGGTTTCTACTTAAAATTTATGAAATCTGTATAAAAATGTTACCCTACCCCACCCATTTTTACCACGTGTCTGACCATTTTTCTACTCAGGGAGCCTAATTTAGAAAAATTCTTAAAATTTACCCAAATGAAAGTCTGTTTTCAAAGTTTCCCTACATTTTTAAAAAAGTATATTGGTTGATCTTGTAAAATATGAAATACTTTTACCGTCTAGTTTTGATTATATTACACTTTGAAAATATCAGGTATCATATTTATTACTAGATTTAGCATAATTTAGCTAATAAATACCTATATAAATTAAAAAATCAAAATTAAACACTTTTTTCTTTCAAAATGGGACATGAGAGATACATAAATAATGTTAAAAGAAAAAAAGAAAGAAAAAAAAGTTGACCCTTCTGGGGATTGAACCCATGGCCCTCATTTTCAATGTAGTTAACAGTAGTTCTAGCCTATTTGAATACTCTTCAAAGCGGAGGTAATGCATTGGGTGCTAATACCTTAAGTCAAGCCAGTACAAATTTTCTATGTCAATTGTCATCCATTAGAACCATTAGGGCACAGTCAGACATACATGTGTACAATGTATTTGAAAAAAATGGCAGCTATAATTTAACCCATTACCAGATATATACACCTTTCTATTCTAAGCCCCACCCCCCACCCTTTTGTTGTCTCAAATGGTGAAAAAAATGCCTTATTTAGGACCCAAACACTTGTTTTGTTTGAGAAATACTGTTTAAAAAAGTGACCACTTTTTCGGCGCCAGCACCCACCCCCCGGATCCAAAAGATACATCAGGGGGTTGCCAGAAGGGGTATGTGCCCCCTTCTGTTTAGGGGTTTTGATCGAGGGGGGCAGTCCCCATCATCACTTTATTTTCTGAACATAATTTGGACAATTTTAGTACACAGCAACCTCATTATTTGCAATCAAATAATCAATTTAAATAGCAAAAAGTAATCATTCATTTATATAATTATTCATTTTTTTATCAAAATTTTGGTTGAATAAACTTGTGACACCAGTGGTCTGTGTAGCAATAAGCGTATTGAAGATTGAGATTTCAATTAATTGAGTTTTGGGGATGAATTTAATTTAACAAATTAGGCTGTATATCTTGAGCTGTTGTTCATCCCTCAAGGGGAAAAATCAGTTTTAAACATTTTCCACTTTTAAAGTGAAACATTTTTGGGGTGATAAATCTGGATCTAGGAGAAATCATTAGAAATCTATAATTGTGAGGCACATTTATAAATAAATAAACTACATGTATCAAAAGTGTATAAACCTAAAAGGTCATTATGAGTCTGAAGATTAAAACATTATTGATAAAAAATTAAAACAAACTCTAAAACAAACCTGAATGAAAGGTCAATATCTGTGTATGGTTGGGGACAACTAAAACCAGACTACTAGTCTAGTCAATATACCCTAATTTGGGGTCAACCTAGAACTACTGGTATAGTAGCGTAGTCAGAGTAAGTTTTAAAACGGAAAAAATCATTACATAAAACCGATTTTATCTTTTTAATTGCAAACGCAAAATTTCGGGACTTTTTATGGTAAGCACTTAAGATTCTTTAAGTTCTTCAGTGAGGTGTTTGATAAGAATTCTTTTGCAATTAGTTCTAGGTGTATCTTTACTTTTACTGGCCTATACAACCAAACCCAGACAGCCCTGATTTAGTTGTTTAGTTTGATTTAGTTTTTTTTTTCTTTTTCCAGGTAGTTGATCTAATATCAGATGCTTTTTTATCAACAATAAATGCATGTTTTTTTATAATTAATAAATCTATTTCAACTTAATTCTTTCATAAACGGTAATCTTTTTATGTCCAGGGCAGTCATTGAATTTATGGTTTTGAATTTACTGGCCCGAATTCTAGATTTGAATTTATCCTACTATATATTTAACTACATTTTCTCTAATATTTACACTCAGACTGGCCCTAACAAATTTTCACTGGCCATGGGCCACCGGGCCAGTGCTAATTTCGATGACTGCCAGGGATAAAAAAGTCCACTTGTCTGCTGGTATTTACGAGAAGGACTGAGGCAGGAGCTTGTCCGGAACTTGACGGGTGGAAATTTGCCAATGTGCTAGACCACTTGAATTATCATAATCTATTTGTTTACATTTTACAATTGAAAACTGGAAACAAAGCTTGGTTTTAGGTTATGTATAAATTTTTGCACTTTATAAAGCTCTGTAATGTTAATTCTAACTTGGTTACAATGTGCGACCTGCATGTGCCTGACAATGTTCTATATTGATTCTGAACTTAAATTTGAAAATTTTATAAAATGTGTGGGTAAATTCCATTGTCAATGATAGGAATTTTGATTTCATATTAACCCACTGGTAGCATTATAAGTATATTGCAGGACGAGAAGAAATTTGAAGCAACTCTGAAAATTGTTTTTGATCCCAGGCCCCGTGTTCACAAAGATTTTAGGATCAGGGTCAAAATCAGGATCAAATTCAAGAACTCAAATATTTTCCATTGTTTATCCACATAGTCTAGATTAGATATATTTAATATTAATTGATAAAATTGGACTTAAAATAATATGTTTATGGAATTTTAGAATAAACTAATTGTTATTTTTTGCAAGATATTGGCATTTTATATTGATCTTGATCCTAAAATTGATCCTTATTTTGATCTGATTATTTCTGATTTTGATTTGTTATTTGTTCATTTTATGCCAAAATAGGTTTGTTTCTTTGCAAATCAGCAAAAAATTTACATTTTGAATAAGTACCATTTCATTTCTAGCACCAATAATTAACTATTAATTTTTGTTTTATAAAACAATGAAAATAAAATCAGGATCAATTGATCCTGATCTTTTCTTAGTGAACATTACATGGGTGACCTGATATTATCCCCTACCGCTACCCCCATCTCTCCAGTGATTGTTATAACCCGAAGAATATAAATAAAAGTCAATTTCCGCAATGTCATTTAGAATCTAGTATCAATAAACTGACACTAGATTCTACTAGGCAACTTTCATTATACCTCTATTGAAATGTAGATCGAACTGGTGTACTTAAAATTGGTGTAATGAAAATTGTGTAATAGTGTCATGTTGTTGTTGTTATGAATAGCTAGGCTATATAGAAATGTTGAAATGGTAGGGAAGGATGGGGGGGGGTAGTCTCAATATTTCGACTGCAAGACAGACCGATTTTATAATCTGAAATTTCATAGATGTGTCAAGGGCGACCATCATCTATATAAGAAAAAGCCCTAAAGCGTACAATTTGTTGGGCTAGGGGGGTGGCGGCGGGCCTGCAGGACAGGGCAGACCGTGAGACAGGGCGGACCGTGGCTTGAGACTAGGCAGACCATATTTGGGACAGGGCGGACAGTCACTACCTATACGAAAAATCAGCATGGCTTTTATGAAAAACAGGACCGATTCAGGCCTGTTTTGAACCAAAAATTGGCAAAATCAGGGTGAAATAGACATGGACCCTGAATTTTCAAGAAATCTCACATGGTAATTCAAGTTTTTTCTACCCTGACATCGTCTTCATTTTGGTAAAAGACGGGGTGGAGGCAGGAATATTTGCACTTTGATTTTACTGACTTGGAGAAATATAAGCAAAATGTACCCAGATATTTCAAAGTTAGAAAATTTTCAAGAACCAGTTTCAATAAAGTCTTAAACTGTTAAAAGTTCTTCATTTCCAGCCTGATTTTTCTTAGTTACTGTACAGTACTGTAGACTAGATTCTAACAACAACAAAAACTCACCAAAAGCTACAAAATGTATCCGTGTTCGTTCATTTCCCCTTCCACATCACAAATATCCCTTTTGAAGTTTGTTTTCTCCGACACATAATCTTTTTTGATGACCGAATACACAGAGGTAATCACACAACGGGGTCAACGCAGTTGATGACGCAAAATTGGACGACTTCATTTTCACGCCATTGAAGGGGTGTCCAGTCCGATGACAGTGTGTAAACGTTTTAATGATATTTCTGATGAATCAACATTTTCAATTATTCATAATTGATGGAAAAGGACAATTTAATTATTCTATAAAACCTGGGACAGAAGATATTTTAAGTCCCAGATAAACGAAAATGCTGTCACGAAAAATTGTGTCTTGCATACGGAGTACCTGACTCCCCCGTGTAAGCGTAAAGATTTGTCCGTTGCCGCTGAAACTCTTTGAAACTTCGAGCGTGTGCCTGTGTAGTTTAAAGACACGCATAGCTGAGGTTTAAAACGTGTAAATTAATGTGATCTTACAAGAGGTGCTGTAGACTTGCAGGTTGTTTCTTAAAGACTAGGTGAGTAAATTTACTAACTACTGTACATATATTCTGATATTTTTTTTAATTTTGTCATAAATTTATTTAGAATCTACAAGTAGATTTTTTTTATAGACCTAGATAGAATTGGTGAGTTTTCCCATTGATTTTACCTAAAATATTTTTAATCTTGTTATTCATGAAATAGAGTGAAATAAGAATCCCTAAAGAAAAATTGCAATATAGATCTAATATCAAAATATTTAAATTAAAACGAATCCATTTTTTTGTAATATTGTTCTTTTTTTTAATACTTTGATTTAGATATAGTCTGGCCTTAATTTTTCAGAAAGATGTACTGTAGTGGCTCAAATGTCTTATAGTCTTATCACAGTAAATACTTCAGTGACAGATCAATAATTGAATTAATTAATACATATAAACTGTAACTGAAAAGCAAATTTTACACTAAAGCACCAAAGTTACAATGAAAAATGAAGAAGTAACAGAAATAAAGCACTGAAATGATGTATTTATAAAAAAAAGTATTTGTGAACACTAAATTCCTTAATTTTGAAAAAAAAAAATCAGTATTTTTTGCTCTGAAAAAGAAAATATTTAATTTGAAATAAATTTTTTTTTTTAAATTTTTTAACATCAAGTGGACCTATGAGTTTATTAAGATAATATTTAAGTTTATATGAATTTATAACAAATATAATCTTTTGTTATTCTGTGTTTATAAACTAACGGTACAGAAGGGGACGGATGTTACAGAATTGAACTAAAAATTCTTTTTACAGTAGTACGAAACTTATCTTGTTCTTATGATGCATGATAGAGAAGTAGTAAGCTTTGCAACTGTATAGGAATGTTTCACACAACAAATAAAAATACCATTTAAAAAAAATAGAAGAAACAAACACAAAATCCATAACAGGATAATTATATAGAAAGAGGTTCAAACGATAGAGATGTTAAAAGTATCTTTGTGATTAAAATTGGTCAATTGTTAAAACATAAATTCTTTAGCCTTAAATAGTTAACAAACCAACAAACCATGTATCCCAGCCCCTCATAAAACAGTGGGATAATGGATCCTAACTCTATACACACAGAAGGGGCTGGCACTTTATTGGAAGTTTATGAGCTGTATATTTGGGAGCTGTGTAGATTGTATATTTGGAAGTGTGATATATTACAAAACAGTAGGGGTGCCAATTAAGCCCTTAGGATGATATATATTATGCTTAAAAACAGTGGGGGGGGATTACCATTTTCATACAATTTGACCCATTTAATTATTGTTAATAAGTGAAAGAAACTTGTAAGTAAAGGATAAGGTAATGATTCCTGTAATGAAAAAGTTGGAATAATTGTGAAAATTATTCTGTTAATAAACCCTTCGCAAATTATTTTGCACCTATAAATTTATTGAATGACAAATTAGTTCATTAAGTTAATTTAAGCAGTTCATGTACACTGAAATATATACACAGAGAATTATTTAAAAGTTAGAAATAATGAGATTTAATGATACTGAATCATAATGAAATCTTTTGATAATGCTGCTAACATTCCACATTAATTTACTTAAAATTTCATCAAATCGATAGAACTTAATTGCAGCAATTTAAAATCTTATAATTTTTAATGAAAATTTTTAATTGTGTATAATTTATGTATTTAGTAATGAGAAATTCTATAAGCTTCAATAAGCTTGCATACGTTTCATTCTGAAAACTTATTTACTTCACACTGTATCATATCTTTTACAAATATAAATCTTATTATTGGCGTCCGCGCCGAAGCGCGGCGCTCTTATGGAATGAGATCAGATTTTTGTGAAAGGGCGACAGCAACTTCTCGAGCCTTTTAGTCGGTCATAATAAAAGCCGAAAATTCCGATCGGTATGAGGGTGCTTGATTATTAAATAAGAATGAAATGTCGCGATATGTTACAATGAATTTTCGCAATGCAAACATTTACAAATGAAATAACCTTTTCCGTCAATAAATCGCGCTCTTCGGGGTTTTTTTATTATCATTTTGTAGTACACAGTCGGTTATCATGTCATGGTTATGTTATTGTTGTATATGTTATCCTAGAATGATCAGTTGATGACCTAAATATTCCAAAAAACCTATTTATAGATATATCTTTTTATCACTCCTATCGGTAAATGCCGGTCCCCCCTGCGAGAATTCCATGAATAATTCATGAACTGTTTCATGAACATATTCATGGACAAGTTCATGAATGTGCATGAACAACAAATGAGACTTTTTTTCGTTCACGGACAATTCATGAATCAAGATATTCATGAACATGTGTTCATGAATATATTCATGAACATTCATGAATATCTTGATTCATGAATTGTCCATGAAAGAAAAAAAAGTCTCATTTCTTGTTCATGCACATTCATGAACTTGTTCAAATGCACATTCATGAAATTGTTCATGAATATGTTCATGAACAATTCAAAAACTTCTCCCAGGGTCATCAAATAATGTGACATCACAATCAATTTTCATTTAATTCTAAGACTGCTGATTTGTACCAGCCATAAAATGCACAATAGACAGTGTTTTAGTAAAAATACAAAAACACAAAAGCCCATTACACAGGTAATGAAACTTGTTAAATACTGTGCTCATTGATTCCCTATGTACAAATTGAATTGTCATTAGAATTCACGACTTGCCAGTTTGCTCTTCAATTTATTTCTTTGACACAATTTTCCATAAGATTTTATATAGTCCATTATGTAAATACATCACTTTTTCTTCATTTTGCTAAGTCATTGTTATTTATTCCATTTTTAAGTAAGTTTGCACCGAAAGTTTGTTAAACACATGTAGAGCTTTGTTTCTGGCGGCCATGTTGACTTTTGCATTATGGGTGTTACCAAGGTCAGCCAACTCTTGTTGATGATCAGTGAGTTCATGAACTCACGAGAGTTCATGAACTGAAAATTTTTTCAGTTCATGAGTTCATGAACTGAAATTTTTTCTAACACTAAAAAGTATTCACATGGGTTAAAATTGTAAAGACAAATTTGTTTTTAAAGTTCATGATTATTGTCAGCTTGTTCATGAACATACCAAAATGTTCATGAACAGAGCAAGAATGATGCCAAAATGTTCATGAACACATCAACATGATCATGAACAGACATACATATTCATGAACTTGAATGTTCATGAATATTTGTTCATGAACATTTCTGCCAAGATGATGAACAATTGAAAGATGTCCATGAATATTCATGAACTGTTCATGAAAATTCATGAATTGATGAACATGCTTTCGCAGGGGCTCTCCCGCTCTATATTGACCAGGATTTACTAGTGACCGGCGAATAGTACCACACGTTTATTGTCCGGTCTCTCCCGATTTTGGAGTAGATGTTTGATATCGTTACAATTGGAAAAAAACAACAATAGCATGTTTCATTTTATCTATATGAGATAAAAACAATAAATATGTACACGGATTTATATGTAATATAAATCCGTGATATGTACAATAATTGAGAAAAAGGTACATTTTTTATGGTATTAAAATGACATTATCAACTTTGAAACATTTTATTTAATTATTCAATTTGTTATCCGTGTTTAGTAAAGATGCCGAGGAATTATTCAAAGTTACAAAATTAGATTTTATGAATTATTCAATTGATCGATAAATTTAAAAAAATGATAAAGAAAAATACAATGTACATGGTTTAAAATAAAACAATATTATATATTGAAAAGATAAACCATAATTTACTGACTTTTTCCAGTTAAGCTTTTACTTATAATCGTCGGTCAAAATGACAATTGAATTCTTAAAATTTATTTTACAATTTTAATAAAAAAGAGTAGTAAAAACTCAGTATTAAAATAGCACATAAAACACAAAAAAGAATAAAAGAAAAACAATATTCATAAAATTTGTATTTTTTTTAAATTTAAAATTAATAGAAAATTTACAATTATTTTTTTATAAAAAAACAATTTTTTTGTTTAAAACATGTTTCAACAATGGAAATAAAAAACCAGGGCCAAAATTTTTTAAACTAATTTAAATTTGTGAACAAAATCCCTTTAAAGGGGGGCCCTTCCGCAAATAGGGGAAAAACATGACAAAATTTAAAGGGCCAAAATGTGGGGAAAACGTTTTTGGATCATGCGTTACACTATGGTTTAAATAAATGATTGCATACATGTATATCCTTTGGGCTATTAATAACCCACGTTTTCAAAAAGAAATAACAAAGAAATTTATTCAATCTCTAGCTTTCCCAATCAATTCATAATGAACAAGGGTTCCCTTTCGCCCCGGCTCATTCAAAAAGGTTGGTAAAACATTTCGGGTGGGTTTTATAAGAATTTTCTTGTCTTTCAAAAGGTACATTTTCATCTTCACTTGCTGCATTTTCTTGCTTGGACGCCCTTTGATGCTTTGCATCAATGCTTTTCTTGTTTAACTAAGTATTTTGTAAATAATTTCATGTATAGAAAGGAAACTTTGATATGACATTTCTCTCTTTAAAACGTTAATTTGCATTATCTGGAAACAAAGATTTCTTTTATTTATTAGCAATGTTTTATTTTATTTCAAACATTTAAATGTTCATTCAAATTGTAAAAATAAATTGTGAAACGCAAATAGTAAGAAACTCCATAATTGTTGGGTATATTTCTACATTTTTCTCATAATTTATTCAATTATTTTAC